TTCATGAATGTTTTCAGATTTTTAGGATTGGTACGTCAATGTGAAAAAAATCAAAAACTATATATGTCTCATGTTCAAGTACCGGGGACGGAAGACACGTTTCCAACGGCGGCGGCAGCGTAGGGGCGAAGAGTCGAGCACAGTAATCGCTGCGTACTTTTTTGTGGTAGGTTCGTGTCTTGTCACCGACCATATTTATTTTATAACACATATATATTTTCTTCTCACAGTTACTGTTTATTGAGCAGAGTTCATTATTTAAACAGTATTTGTAAATTGTTTACAAATATTTTAATAATGAGCAGGTAATGTGAGATCACCAAGAGTTTATTTAATATCTCTGCAAGTCTATCTACTATAAAAATATAAATCTAGATTTCTATGTGAAAAAATTATTTTTAGTACTTTTTTATTTTTTACGGTTACATTTTGCAACGAAAGAATCTGAGAAAATTCTTAGACATGTCCAGCTACACTACGAACACGAAAAATGTAGTCGTAAAAAATAAAAAAGTGTTGAATATAATTTTCACATAGGAATCTAGATTTATATTTTTGTCATAGACTTGCAGAGATATTAAGTAAACTCTTGGTGGTAGTAAGTAGTAACACATTACTTGCTCATTGTTAAAATATTTTTAAACAATTGAAAAATATTATTTATATCATCCGTTTACTCTTGTGAGAACGTTTGCGGCAAATTATTAGAATGTGGGAATCATGCTTGCGCGAAATTATGCCATCCTGGTGATTGCGAGCCTTGCCCTTTGGGCGTTGACAAGATTGCAACCTGCTGTTGTGGACAAACGCCGTTGCCGGATAAGAGAGAATCTTGCTTGGACCCAGTCCCCACTTGCGACAAGATATGCTCGAAGAATTTAAAATGCGGCCAGCCTAATAATCCTCACAAGTGTAAAGCAAAGTGTCATCAAGGCGATTGTCCTGCATGCGATTTAACTACCGATGTTAGATGCCGCTGTGGGAACATGGATAGGGAAATAGCTTGTAAAGACCTGACGACAAAGGCGGACGATGCGCGATGCGAGAAGAGGTGTATGAAAAAGAGGTCGTGCGGCAAGCATAGATGCAATCAGCTGTGCTGCATAGACATAGAGCACGTTTGTCCGTTGATCTGTTCTAAGACTCTGAGTTGTGGTAGACACAAGTGCGAGCAGAGTTGTCACAAAGGTAACTAATGTTGAATTCGTTGACTCAATGCTAATACTATTTCAAAACGCCACCAGTGCGAGTCTAAGGCAACCGATTCTAGTGCAGCACTGAATTGGTGCAGTTATGGTCATTATCATCATCCGCTACCATATAAATTGAATTTTCATAAACAAACGACTCCATTTTCGATGCAGGAAGGTGCCAACCTTGCTGGCGCAGCAGTTTCGAGGAATTGTATTGCGAATGCGGAGCTTCTGTGACGTATCCTCCTGTTCCCTGCGGCACGAGAAGACCTGCCTGCGACAGACTTTGTTCCCGTCAACACAGCTGCGGACACGAGGTGTTGCACAATTGTCATAGCGAGCCACAGTGCCCCCCTTGCACTGTTCTCACTCAACGATGGTGTCATGGCAAACACGAGCTACGTAAAGCGGTGCCTTGTTACATTAGCGAGATTTCCTGCGGTTTACCGTGTAACAAGCCATTATCATGTGGTAGACATAAATGTATCACTATATGTCATCCTGGTCCTTGCGAGAAACCGGGACAGCAGTGTACTCAACCGTGCACTGCGCCCAGAGAGATTTGCGGACATATCTGTGGCGTGCCGTGCCACGAAGGCAAATGTCCCGATATTCCGTGCAAAGAGATAGTTAAGGTGATTAGATAAATGTACTTGTGTTTATTTAGAATTTATTAAACATGTGTGATAACCCGATGATCGAAATAGGTTGAGGGCGGATCGGTTTTCAAAAATTTCGGAATTCTCGAAAATATTCGAGAGGTAATAATTGTATTTTAATGTAAAAGAGCTAATCATTACTTATTTGTTATAGTAACAACCTAATTTTTCAATCTCTATAATTCTACTCTAACAAGTTAAATAAGTTAAAATGAGAACAAATGAATGGATTTTGTATTGTAATTTTCGAAAACGCTTGAAATATCGAAAATCTTACATGATTGATTCTGTCGAGTCTCATAACGGTAATCAAGCTCTCGCAATTTTTAGGAACTCGGAACATCTTTGAAAAACTCAAAATTTTTGAAAACCTGTCTCGATCCCCAAAAAAATTCACGTCCCGACCTGACCTGACATTTCTCTGGGTCTTGCAGATCTCTAGAATTTATTCATTAATGAGTATTGTCTCTGTTGCAGGTAACGTGTCAGTGTGGACACAGAACCATGTCCCGAGTATGTGCCGAGAATGCTCAAGAATATCAGAGAATAGCGAGCAGTATATTGGCCAGTAAAATGGCCGACGTGCAGCTAGGACATTCCATAAACTTGGAGGAAGTGTTTGGCCAAGGCGCGAAGAAGCAGAATCAACTGAAGACATTGGAATGCAACGACGAGTGCAAGATAATCGAACGAAACAGGAGATTGGCGTTGGGTCTGCAGATCGCGAATCCGGACCTCAGCGGTAAGCTGATGCCCAGGTACAGCGATTTCATGAAACAGTGGGCCAAGAAGGATCCGCACTTCTGTCAAGTGGTTCACGAGAAACTGACGGAACTGGTGAAGTTGGCGAAAACGTCTAAGCAGAAATCGCGTAGCTACTCGTTCGACAGTATGAACAAAGACAGGCGTCACTTCATTCACGAGTCTTGCGAGCATTTCGGATGCGAGAGTCAGGCGTACGACCAGGAACCGAAAAGGAACGTTGTTGCAACTGCCGTAAAGGATAAGGTAATTGTAAAGTACATCGTGTTTCTCATTCTTAGACCGTAGGTTTTATGCAAAATAAAAGGTTTATTAGTATCAATTGAACAAATTTGATACAATTCCGCTCATTATTTAAGTTATATGTTATGCACACTGCACTTTTTATGTCATATACTTTTAGGTATCTAGTCTTCGTATTTCTACACATTCAGTGTTTCTGTAAATGCATAAACAACTGCAGTCTATTTTATATATATATAATACGTATATATAATATATATATCTGTGGCGACATATAAGAACTTAGTTTATATACAGGGTGTCCCAGAACTCTCTTTACGCCCGAAAATGAGGAGGAGCTGAGGTGATTTTAAACAACTTTTTCCTTTGCAAAAAAGTTGTCCGAGGCGTGGTT